TAAAAAGTGTTCCTTTAATTTTTTTGAGCAGTGTGTAACACTGTCAGAGATACTAGATACTGAGAGAGTGGCATTGCAGGAGCACAGCTGAGAGATCATTGTCACCCCATAATAGGAAGTACCTGCAAGGACCTTCATTGTTGGATCACGGGGTATTATTTAAATGAAAACTGCAGACTTAAAAATAATTTAAAAACTGTTTGAAATTTATGTTAATATATTAAAGGAAAAATAGGGCCAAAGAACTTTTGGCCCTACCTCTCCTGTAGGTCACAGGCGTGCACTTAGTTCTGGACTCCTGTAACCCATATTCAGCCGGGTTGCCAACAATTAAGTCGAAATCTACTACATTCCTGACCGGCAGCTGGCTCAAACTCTCAGTGGCATGCTTCTGCCCCTTCCACATCTGGTGCTCCACTGAACACTGGAGGGGGTGAGCAGAGAGCCGGTGACTGACATTCAATGGTCTTCAATCTCTCAATTCTGGGTCTTAGAAGTAGTGGGAGACAGATGCAGCATTGGACCAATGCTGCATCCATCTGGGTGAGAAGTGCTGGGCTTGATGTTCGAGTTGAACGTAAGTTTGATTTGAACATCGGCCGTTCGTGTGTTCGGTGTTTCAGTATGGTCATTCAGCAGGCTGTTCGCCCAACACGCCCCACAATGCACTGCACCCTGATAGTGCATTGTGACTGGCCAAAAGCAATGCACCTAACCGCAGGTTAGGTACAATGCTTTGGCCAATGACAGCACATGATGACGTCATCACAGTATTTAAGAACTGTCGTCGCAGCGCAGCTGTCAGATGGCGGGAGCCAGCATCTAGAGCACCCCCCCATGTTGAGGGCATGTGGCCTGGTATGGTTTAGTAAGGGAGTACGCTCGCTCGCCTTCCCCTTTCCTGACCTGCTGGGCTGAATGCTCGGATAAGGGTCTGGTATATATTTTTTATAAAATTATGGCCTGGGAGGTTCCCCTCAAAATCCATACTAGACCTGAAAGGCTTGGTATGGATGTGGAGGGGACCCCACGTGTTTAAAAAAAAAAAAAAATTTAATGGCCGGCCAATACCGGCAATTCTTTTTACATTCAGCTTACACTCAGCTGTCAGCGAGGAACCCCGCTGACAGCTGAAACATTAAAGAATGTTTTCACTACTAAAATACCGCATGACTTAATAATATAACTCATGCAGTATTTAGTAGGTGTGCAGTATTTTACTGCAGATGTGGTAAGATACCGCTTAGCGAGTTGTCCTCTCCTTTCGAAGTTCGTGGTCAAACATACATTAGGTTCAAATGTTCGACCGCGAACCGAACAGGTGGGTGTTTGGCCCATCACAGTGACTAAATGGTTAGCACTTCCGCCTGGCAGTACTAAAGTCACTAGTTCAAATCCCAGCCACAGCACCACCTGCCTGGAGTTTGCATGTTCTCCCTGTGCCTGCATGGGTTTCCTCCAGGTACTCTAGTTTCCTCCCACACTCCAAACACGTGCTGGTAGGTTAATTGGATCCTGTCTAAACTGGCCCTAGTATGTGTATGTATGAATGTAAGTTAGGGACCTTAGATTGTATGCCCCTTGAGGGTTAGGAACTGATGTGAATGTACAATATATATGTAAAGTGCTGCGTAAATTGACAGCGCTATATAAGTACTGTACCTGTAATAATAATAATTACTATGGTTGAGTACGATTTTTTTTTTGTAATGCCAAACTTCTGTTTTAATGTTTTCAGTGAGAGCTAAATAAATAATAGGCTTTTATGGTGATTGCACCCCATTCCTATAATGATATTGCTCCCAATTCAAAAAATGAAAAAAAAAAAATCTACTAGTGAATATACAACATATGTACCAATATATAAACAAAAAAATATTATATTATCACAAATTTTATTACATTTTTAAAAGTGAATCAGCAGGAGTAATGGATACAATTATAAAACCATGCTGAAAGAACATTACAGGAGGAGTACACCTAAAGCTCGTTTAGCACTCCTGTGACCTATTTTCAGCTTACAATGCTGAGAGCCTGAGCCAGCCGCAACTGACCCCTCCACAGCCCAGCTCTTCAGTGAGTGTGGAGGGTCAGAGCAGAGAATCAGAGACTGACAGTCACAGCTTTCTACGCAGAGGAGAACTGAATGATCAGCTGTGTTTGACCGCTAAGTTCTCATTGCAGAGTCGGCGGGGTACAGATGCAGCATTGGATTGATGCTGCATCCACCTAGTTAATTATGATTTAAAAAAAAAAACAAACAATACTTTTCTTTTAAAAAACGGTTGGCATTACAGAAGATGCCCTTGAATTACCCCAGAGTTTAACCATGTGAACTTTTTTCTAAAAATTATCATTTGTATATCTTTGTACCAGCAAGAACCCTGGTGTGAGGGTATCTTAGTTCTTCAATGTGTTTTGCAGGCTACTTTCCTGCTTTATCAGGAAGCTGTGGATCCATCTCTAAAGAATCAACCATTAAATGATTAATTACTTCATCATGATTATTGAAAAGTATATTTGATATATGACACATGCATACAGAATCCATAATTCATAGAGTTACACTTACAAAATATTATTGATTACACTGGAGCATTTCATAACAAGGGGACCCTTGGAATCCAGCTCCAAACAGGGGCCACTGGAGGGCAGAATTACCTTTGCAGAGAGTTGACAAATAATCAAATAAATAAATAAATATTATTTAAGTTATTTCAAAACAGGGTTGTTTTTTTTAATATTTGTAGAAGGGGGAATGTAATCAAAGTGACCTGATTACAGGGTGTGTATACCTCACTTAATCAATTGTTATCATATTGAATACCCAGATGAAGAAATTATTTGTATAACTCAACTACCTAAGCTTGCCTTTATTAATGCAAATAAATTACAATACAGAGCAAGAATTCCAGAGAAGAAAGCCCACCATCATCACAGTACCAATGAAAGCCACTTAGTGAAAAGCAGTAAGGAAATATGCATGTGTGTGCATATACAGTTGTGCTCAAAATAATAAATAAAGCTCAAAATCCTTCTATTAGCTTTTATTTCCATACACACAAATGCATTGGGAACACTACACATTCTATTCCAAATCAAAACATGAAGAAAAATATATCAAATTTGTGTTGTTCCTCTAAAAAAATTGAAGAAAAGTGAATATTAGACTGTTCAAAAAATAGCAGTGTTTGTATTCTTCTTTACAAACTCAAACATTCACTATATATAAACTGAAAAATGTTTGAAGATTTTGCTTTCCTTTGAATCACTTAATTAATATTTAGTTGTATAACCACTGGTGTGTTTGGGGTCGTTGTCTTCAAGGGCATTTCCTCTTCAGCATAAGGCAGCATGACCTCTTCAAGTATTCTGATGTATTCAAACTGATCCATGATCCCTGGTATGCGATAAATAGGCCCAACACCGTAGTATGAGAAACATCCCCATATCATGATGCTTGTGCAACCATGCTTCACTGTCTTCACAGTGTACTGTGGCTTGAATTCAGTGTTTGGGGGTCGTCTGACAAACTATCTCCGGCCACTAGACCAAAAAAAGAACAATCTTACTTTCATCAGTTCACAAAATGTTGCGCCATTTCTCTTTAGGCCAGTCAATGTGCTCTTTGGCAAATTGTAACCTATAAAGCACATGTCTTTTTTTCAACAGTGGGACTTTGCGGGGGCTTCTTGCAGATAGCTTGGCTTCACATAGGCGTCTTCTAATTGTAACAGTACTCACAGGTAACTTTACACCTTCTTTGATCTTCCTGGAGCTGATTGTTGGCTGAGTCCTTGCCATTTTGGCTATTCTTCTATCCATTTGAATGGTAGTTTTTCGCTTTCTTCCACGTCTTTCAGGTTTTGGTTGCCATTTTAAAGCATTTGCGATCATTTTAGCTGAGCAACCTATCCTTTTCTGCACTTCTTTATATGTTTTCCCCTCTCCAATCACGTTTTTAATCAAGGTACGCTGTTCTTCTGAACAATGTCTGGAACGACCCATTTTCCTCAGAATTTCAGAGAGAAATGCACTGTAACCAGCATGTACAACATTTGTTGCTTTCCTTCCTTAAATAAGGGCAATAATTGCCACCTGTTTTTCAAAGAATGAATGACCTCGCTAATAGAACTCCACACTGCTATTATTTTGAACATGCCCCTTTCAATTAGTGATTCAATTACACAGAATCAGCAGCATGCATGTCATGACTGTTGGGTCTGTTGGATTTCTATTACTCTACGACACCTGCTAGTAAATTATTTGTCATGTAGAAATATCATTTCTGCCAAAAACAGTGATTGATCAGTTTAGTGATGTCTGACTGCTATTATTTTGAACACAGCTGTATATATATACACACACACACACACACATATATACACTATATTGCCATAAGTATTTGGACGCCTGCCTTTACACGCACATTTATAACAGCTTCAACTCTTCTGAGAAGGCTGTCCACAAGGTTTAGGATTGTGTCTGTGGGAATGTTTGACCATTTTTCCAGAAGCACAACTGAGAGGTCAGGCACTGATGTTGGATGAGAAGGCCTGGCTCACAGTTTCCGCTCTAAAGCATCCCAAAGGTGTTCTATCTGGTTGAGGTCAGGACTCTATGCAGGTCAGTCAAGCTCCTCCACCCCAAACTTCCTCATCCATATCTCTATGGACCTTGGTTTGTGTACTGGTGCGCAGTCATGTTGGAACAGGAAGGGGGCATCCCAAAACTGTTCCACAAAGTTGGGAGCATGAAATTGACCAAAATGTCTTGGTATGCTGCTGCATTAAGAGTTCCCTTAACTAGAAGTAAGGGGCCAACCCCAACCCCTGAAAAACAACCCCACACCATAATCCCCCCTCCACCAAACTTTACACTTGGCACAATGCAGTCAGGCAAGTACCGTTCTCCTGGCAACAGCCAAACCCATACATGTCCAGCGGTTTGCCAGACAGAGAAGCATGATTCGTCACTCCAAAGAACATGTCTCCACTGCTCTAGAGTCCAGTGGTGGCATGCTTTATGCCACTGCATCTGATGCTTTGCATTGCACTTGGTGTTGTAAGACTTGGATGCAGCTGCTCAGCCATGGAAACCCATTTCATAAAACTCTCTATGAACTGTTGTGCTAACCTGAAGGCCACATGAAGTTTGGAGGTCTTTAGCTATTGACTCTGCAGACAGTTAGCAACTTCTGCGCACTGTGCGCTTCAGCATGCGCTGACTTCGATCAATCATTTTAAGTGGCCTACCACTTTGTGGCTGAGTTGCTGTTGTTCCCAGTTTCTTCCACTTTGTTAAAATACCACTAACAGTTGACTGTGGAATATTTAGTAGCAAGGAAATTTCATGGATGGACTTACTGCACAGGTGGCAACCTATCACGGTACCACAATTGAATTTACTAAGCTCCTGAGAGCAACCTATTCTTTCACAAATGTTTGTAGAAGCAGTCTGCATGCCTAGGTGCTTGGTGTATATATTTATACACCTGTGGATATGAAGGTTATTGGAACACCTGAATCTAATGATTTGGAGGGTGTTCCAATATTTTTGGTAATATAGTATATCTGCTCATTTGATTTCCATACTTCAGGCTATAGAGGTTTCAGCTAATTCCTGGTATCAAGACATGCATAGCTATTGAAGTGGTAACTGCAAGTTTGGCTGCAGTGGTGAGAAGTGCCTCTATGATGATTTAGATACGCATATATTGTGCGATCTATGAGACACATGCCACAAGAAGCGGCCATACTTGTAATATTCATATAAGAGGTATGTGATGTGGTGTGGATGCTGATGTTTAGTGTCATGACAACGTTGTCATATATTATGCCCCTTTGAAAAGAAAAGGTGAAGGTATTTTTGTTATTGGTTTGATAATAAAGTTTTACAATTTTTAGATAAAGTGTAAGCTCTGTGATCCTCACATATAACTTATCTTTTCATGGTCTATCACACAAGTAGTTTATGAGTATGCTTTAGGTCAGAGGACCACCTCCTACAGGAGAATGAGAGCATTTTTATTAAACTGAATTTTTGATCTTGGTATGGGTGGCTTATCTATCCCTGAAAATGTACTCATTGGTGGCATGATGCTTAAAGCCTAACTTCAGACTACTATTTTTGGTTTGGGTAGCGTGTGTGTTTGTGTGTGTGTGGGGGGGGGGGGGGTAAACGTTATTGTCAAGTTCTTACTTTTCTTGGTGACTCCACTGGGCAGATTTTACCTCCTTTCCTAGTCCTTTGATGCAGGATTATACAAGAAATAAAAGGTATGGTTGTCACATAGAAAAGCATGCACAGCAATAAAAAATTACGTTCCAAGCCTTCCTCACTGTACAAAATTTTTTTCGTTCACACCATTTATTTACACTTGTCCATCACATCTTGATGGACATTCAATGCCCAAACCATGGGCTTTAATATGGAGTTTCCTTTGAAGCTACACCATACTTCATTTTCCTGGGTAGGCTTTTGCCCACATGGCTTTGGAGTGTGTCTATGGGAATTTGTGCCCATTTAATCAAAATAGTATTTGTGAGGTCTATGGGAATTTGTGCCCATTTAATCAAAATAGTATTTGTGAGGTCAGGAGCATGATGCCTTACAAAAATTTGATGAGAAAAGACCTAGCTCTCCACTGGTGTTCTAATTCAGGCTCCCAGAGGGGTTCAGTAGGGTGAGGTCAGAGATCTGTGTAGGGTTCTCAAAAAAAAAACGTTGCATTTTTTACTTTCGGCTATAAAAAAATATAGCAAACTCAAAGTCAGCAATAAATATAGGCCAAAATGTATTCTGCTACATGTCTTTTTGGTAAAAAAAAATCCCAATAAGTATATATTGATTGCTTTGTGTGAGAGTTATAGCGTCTACAAACTATGGTATAGCTACTGCAATTTGTGCCATTTTTGCTATACAGTGCTATACTAGTTTAACTGCCAATTGCGCGGTCATGCAATACTGTACATAAATTAAATGTATGTCCTTTTTTTCACAAAAATAGAGCTTTCATTCAGTGGTATTTGATCACCTGTGCACTTCTTATTTTTAACGCTATAAACAAAAAAGACCGAAAATTGTGAAAAAAAACCCAATAAAAATATCCAAAAAACTCAAATGTCATCATAAATTTAGGCCAAAATATATTCTGCTACATGTTTTTGGTAAAAAAAAACCCCAATAACTGTATACTGATTGCTTTGTGTGAAAGTTATAGCATCTACAAACTATGGTATAGATCAGCCTTTCTCAACCTTTTTAACACAGAGGAACCCTTGAAATAACTTTCCAAGTTCAGGGTACCCCTACAAAAAATTACTATATCTACAACTCATTAGCGTTATATTCAGTGGGAAGAATGTTCCTTTCACTTGTGGTCATTGTGAAGAATTACCCCCTTCCAAAAAGCTAAAACGATCAGTGGTGTCAGTGGGAACTTATCTGAAAGGCAGAAATTGCTCATTGTTCAAGGAACCCGAGCAAACTGTGGAAGAGCCCCAGGGTTCCATGGAACCCTGGTTGAGAAACCCTGGTAAAGATAATGGAATTTACACAGCTTTTACTTTCTGACTGCCTATCACATTTCTTGAGCTGCTAAAATACCAGAACAGTACAAACACCTCCAAATGACCCTTTTCGGAAAGTAAGCACCCTAAGCTATCTGCTGAGAGGCATGTAGAGTCCTTAGAAAATTTATTTTTGGAAAATGACAAAAACTTTTTTTGTATACAAAATTGTCACATATAAAAATATATTGCTTACACAAGCCATGGGTATGTGTGGAATTACACCCCAAAATACATTCTGCTACTTCTACCGAGTATGGGGATATCACATGTGTGAGGCTTTTTGGGAGCCTAGCCACATACAGGAGCCTGAAATCCAATGACCACTTTGAAAGCCTGAAGGTGCGTAACTTCCTCATTTCACTTCCTCATTACCTAACACAGTTTTGGAGGCCCTGAAATGCCAGGACAGCAGCAAACCCCTCCAAATGAACCCTTTTTGGAAAGTAGACACCCCAAGGAATTTAAAGAGAGGCATGGTGAGTATTTTGCAGATCTAATTTTTTCTCACAAGGTTTTGAAATATAAAAAAAGAAAAGAAAAATACGTATTTGTTTTCTTTCTTCATTTTCCAAAAACATGTGGCAACAAAGGAGATCTGCAAAATACTTACCATGTTTCTTTAAAATTCCTTGGGGTGTCTACTTCCAAAAAGGGGTCATTTGGGGGGGGGGGGGGGGTTGGTGCTTTCCTGGCATTTCAGGGCCTCCAAAACTGTGATAGGTAGTCAGGAAGTGTAATGAGGAAATAAAGCCCTTTAAAAGCCTGAAGGTGCTTATTGGATTTTGGGGTCCTGTATGGGGTCCTGTACTTGGCTAGACTGCCAAAAAGTCTCTCACATGTGGTACCCCCATACTCAGGAGAGGTAGCAGAATGTATTTTGGGGAGTAATTCCACATAAACCCATGGCATGTGTGAGCAATAAATCATTTATTGACAATTTTGTGTAAACAAAAAATAAAACAATTTTTGTAATTTTCCAAAAACCTGTGCTAAAAAAATAAATTCTTCTATTGACTCAACATTCCTCTGAGCAATAAGTTTGGGGTGTGTACTGTCCAAAAGGGGGTCGTTTTGGGGGGGTGGGGGCATTTTATGCCCAGCATTAGAATTTTATGACACACATCACTCAGTCTTCTAACCACCTGAAGACCAAGCCTTTTCTGACACTTTTTGTTCACATGAAAAAAATCAGTATTTTTTGCTAGGAAATTACTTTGAACCCCAAACATTATATATATATTTTTTAAAGCAGACACCCTAGTGAATAAAATGGTGGATGCTGCAATTTTATTATGTCACGTAGTACTCGTGCAGTGATTTTTCAAACGCAAATTTTAAAAAAAAATACACTTTTTTTTACTTTTAATGCAGAAAAACACAATATATTGGCCAATTATTTGGTAAGATATAATAGATGATGGTATGCTGAGTAAATAGATACTAAACATGACATGCTTTAAAAACTGCGCATGCCCCGTGCAATGGCGAAAAACTGCATACATTTTTAACATCCATAGGCAATGCTTTAAAAGCCTTTACAAGCTACCCTTTTAGATTTACAGAAGAGGTCTAGTGCTAGAATTACTGCCCTTGATCTGACATTCGCGGCTATAGCTCACATGCATGGTGCAACTGCTGTTAATACTGACACTGAGTCAACGCTCGCACATGCAGGTGCGCATGCAGGGGGCGAGGGTGCTTTCTTTTTTTTTTTAAGGTTATTTTGATTTTTTTAAATTATTTTTACACTGTCGCTTCATTTTTTAATCACTTTTAATGCTATCACAGGGAATGCAAATATCCCCTATAATGTCAATGGGCATTATCATATATTCTTTTTTGAGAAATCTGGGGTCTATCAGACTCAAGATATCTGCCTTTACATTATCTACTCTCATGAAGATCGGTGTGATCAGATGCTTTCCCAATTTACAAATGGCGCTTTTTATATCCTGCGAAGCTGAAGTGATGAAATGCTCATAACTTACAATTTCTTAGACTATAGAGATGATTGGCACCATTCCGGTCCCCAGTCAGCTCTATGGTCAGCTGGCAGAAACACCGGCTGCATTCTCAGGTTCCCTGTATGGCACGGGACTGCCCAAGAAGGCCATAGAAGGCAGCAGAGGAGGGGGGGGCATCTTCTCCCACTGATTTTAAAAGCAATCCTGCAGCTAATTAGCCACTAGGGTTGCTTTTACATGAAAGTTGATCACCGGCTGAAAAAAACAATACCAGGCTTTTTTATGCAGCCTGTGGGCTGAGTGAAAAAAAGAAAAGAAATATCTGCCAGAAAAAGTGTGTGGTATGCGCACCATTAGACCGCCCTGCATCCACCCACTTCTAATGGTGGGCACACATGGAATGTTCCTTTTTTTGTCGTTCAGCCCGTGGGCTAAACTAAAAAAAAAAGAACCTAACCAATTCCTCTATTCACATCGGTCGATGTGGATGGAGAAATCTCTGCCCCAAATTTGTTTTTAAATATATACCAAAGCATAGGGGCCATCTGCCCACTTGCCATCCCAGGCCCCCATGCTTTGGCATATATGCTCTTTTTTTACTGCGGATGAAAAATCTCATCCAAAAGCCCTGCACACACCTACTTATGTATTCTTCGAGAGCAAGACCCTGTTGCTGTCAGAATAAACAAGTCGGGGCTGCAGCTGAATGGCACTCCTGCAAAGAAAACAGCAATGGTTAACAATAAAACAGTAACAATAAAACAGTAAAATTGTAACAGTAGAACAGTTACAACAATGACAACAAAAAAAACTACAACTATTTTTGTTTTTTTTAAATTTTAAATTTTTTTTTGGACTTGTACTTTTTATTTGTTATGGTTTTTTTTTTACTTTTTTTTTAAACTTTAACTTTTTAAACCAGATT